TCCTATCCCAACTCCCTACCCTACCCTTACCTTACCCCAACCCTACCCACTACCCCACCCTTAACCCTAACCCACCCACTACCCCACCCAACCCCCAACCCCTAGACCTTACCACCCCACCCCGACCATACCCCTTACCCCACCCCACCCATAACTTCCCTACCCCGACCCCTACGAGTAAGTATGGGTGGGTATGAAGGGTTGTGGTGGAGTATGGGTAGAGTGTAAGATCGTGGTAAGGGTAGAGGTAGGGGTCAAGGGTGTGGAATTGGAGAATTGTGTGAAAAAATTGATGAACATGTTTTCAAATTTGAAAATGGAAAACTAAGAAATAGAAACATAAAATTGGAGATAGAAAAACTAAAAAATAAAAACAGAAAATTGGAGAACGAAAAACAGAAGTAGAAAACAGGAAAATATCTCTGTTAGTAAACAGGCCCTAAGATTCCATGTTTTCATGTGATTTATTTAGTACTATTTCAGGAAATTCTTATAGTGACTTTTCAACTTTACCCTTCTATTTCATTGTAATAACATCCCCAATTTCTCGCCTCTTTGCCCTCATATATCAACCTGCTTGACATCGACATGATATTGTCGAAGGTGCGCGACCACAGCTACTTCACATCGGCTACCTCTTGTTGGACCTCAACACCGGAGTGTACTGCTTGGGAATCAACAATTATAGCTCCATCGAGACTCCAATTTCCAGAATCCAAATAGAAGCATTCTAAGGAACCATTAATGACTGTCAACGATTTTACAGAGGGCTAGAGACCTATATTGCTTCATTGCGGAGTTTTCGACAACCTCTCGATGTAATTTCATGATTAGATATAGTGAATTGTATATATATATTGTTTTACGATACCTGCTCTGCTATTGAGCTATTAGCAGAACTTATTGTCTATTTAATAACTACTTATTATCTATGTATTGTCTGCTATTGAGCTATTATTAGAACTTATTGTCTGTTTATTGACTACTTATTGTCTATGTATTGTCCGGTGTTTGCAAGTTTGATTTTGAACCTGGTTTCTTCAAAAGTTTTGCAGAGTACCTGATGGCCTTGTTAAAATATGAAATAGAAGTTCGAAATTGGCAAAATCAATGTCCAAAATCAGAAAAGAAGAAGAAGAATATATGAAAATTATAAATAAAATTATGCTAATTGAAGATCTTATGATAACAAACAATAGAACCCTCATCAAATAAAAGCTAATACGGAGTAATATATACATACTTAACTAATCGATATAAGCTTACTCAAAAATTTAACTGCACTCTATAATTTAGCCAAACTCTAGAGTCTAGAATCTAGATCATTCTAATACGGAGTACTGAAAATAAAATGCTTAATTAAAGCGAAATACGGAGTATAAATTAAGAGGATTTGAGTCTAGGAGGCCGACAGCTCATTCATCACTTTAATTAGTCCATCTCCACTGCCAAATCCATATCCGTATTTTAATAGGCACAACAAACGAAGAGCTAGCTGGTTTTTTTACTTATCATACAAACCAAAAAACCAAAGGATAAGAAGGTTTGCATAGCGACTCTGACGACTTACACTTTACCTGAAGAAAAATGTTAATATCTCCTCAACTCTCAAGCAATTCCCATGTTTGCCGAATCAAATTCCAGTCGCTTTTGGCTGACCCGTTTATGACTCATTCCTTACCCGTGTTTTTAGGCGGGAAAAGTGGCCAGAATTCCACCTCTTTTTATATAGAGGTAGATGGGTTTAGTCGTTTAGATGATGTTTTTATAATACATGAGTTTAAGTGATGTTTTGTAATTATAGAGTCTATTTGACCCATTTTCCTTTTTAATTCATTGCCTCAATTTTAAATTAAAGGGTGATTATTATAGTTGTATCATTTGTTTGGAAGTCTTTCTTTAAGTTGATTTATATTTATAACATTTCCTTAACACACTTGGAGAATGGTTCTCTTATTTCCAGTATCAATAATTTGTTTTGTATGAAGCCTAAGGATGTTTTCTTTTGGACTGTTTTCAGTCCCAGAACAGACCAGACTTAAACAGACCAGACCAGACCAGACCAGACCAGACCAGACTTAAACAGACCAGACCAGACCAGACCAGACCTAAACAGACCAGACCAGACCAGACCAGACTTCCGTAGTTATAAAATACACAGAGACCAGACGTTTACCAGACCAGACCAGTTCAGACCAGACCAGACCAGACCAGACTTAAACAGACCAGACCAGACCAGACCAGACTTAAACAGACCAGACCAGACCAGACCAGCAAATTTCAGTCCAAAAGAAAACATCCTAAATCTGAATTGATATTTTAGAACATAAAATCACAAGTTGTCCAAGAGGCTAAAATTAGCCAATTGAGGACGTTAGTGCAAATCTTACTACATACTCCGTACAAAGCTCCGTGGAATAAAAAAAAAAGGCAAAGTGAATAGGAAGTAGTAAATGTGTGCTTCAGGGGGGCAAGTAAAGGAATAGACTATCAATGTTTCCTTCCTAAAATAAAGCTCATGGACTCCCAATTGAAGGCTTATTCTTTTAATAATAATAGGATCAAATAAATCATGTTTAGGAAATTGTAAAGGTATAGTCTTCAGGAATTAGTATAACAAATGAATAGGTTATTAAAACAATTTAAGAATTCTGTACTAAGTAGTAAGGACTAAGGACTACGAGCAAAACAATGTAAAAATATCAAAACAAAGGGTGCACATTTTGTTCTCAAAAGTCAAAACAAGACATTAGAAAAAATTCTGTATAGACGCGAATTTTTTGCCCGAAAAATGTCCCAACCAAATTTGACTCGGATTGCGGCTCGGATTAGTTCAATCCCGGTACTAATAGTGCTTTGGTGCGGAAAAATCCTAGAAAAAAGTTGGCTTGACAATTCTAAAGCAAATTTCCAGCCAAGACCGAAAATGGGAAAAGATGTTGGCCAATGAGGTTTTCCGAGTGAAAATCCGTCGCAATTTGCAGCAAAATGTTGTCCGAGTCGAAACTGAGAGGTCATTTCATTTGATATGGCTCAGAATAATCCGATCCAATACATTATGAGCCAAAATCCGAGCAAAAAATATTAATGTCGATTTTCCTTTTGAATTTCCGAGACTAATTATGAATCAAAATGTAAACGTTATTTCACCGGTCAGTTTTCCTAGTAAAACCGTGCCAAAAAGTGTCCATTGGCTGCCTTGGTTGTCCGAGCCTATAACCAAGGGCCCAAGGTAGTGAAAGTTCGAATTAATTGGGTTAATTACTTAATTGGTCTCTTAACCCTTAGCTTTAATTGGGGTTTAAGTTTAGAATTAAGTGGAAATTTCCCGTCCAGTCCCTCCTTTTCAATTGAATTTCATTTATGTCACCTAACCATTTATTTTTCAGACTTTTCCCTTTTCACTTTTATATTTTTATTTCAAAAATGACCCCAATCCTGATTCGCAACTCAAATCCGGAGATCGATCGGCAGGCATATTCAGTTCCTCACAAACCGCCGATCTGAAGAGGGATGTGTGTGGCTCTTCCCCTCCGGCCCAGCTACGGCTGCGTCCTGGCTGCTCCTCCCTCCGCCCTTGAGTTTTCCTTCCGTCCTATGCGGCTTCGCTCTCCGCCCTCCGCCCTCCGCCCGTGCCATCGTGGCAACTCTATTGCTTTCTGAATTGAGACCTAAGTACCTAACTGCGTGTTGATTTCCGATTTGCAGGTATGTATTTGAAATACCTGAGCCCTCAGAAGTGCATCCTGGCACCATTATTATCTAATGTTACAATAATGTCACCTGAGCCCTCAGAAGTGCATCTAGATTTTTTTATAGCACTGTCATGCTCCTATTTTGAAATGTATGCTCCTGTTGCAGTATTTTTGCTGGGGGTTTGGATTATTGGATTAACAGGGAGTCACAGACTGGCATCGGTACTTGTCATCCTTGTGGCCCTAATCAGTTTGGGGAATTTGGGCTCTAAATCAAGTATGCCTCTCTTCTACAAGTTATTTTCATACATAAATTTAGTGTTAAGAGGATTGATGCACGTGCTCAATTGTTTTTAGCTTGAGCCTTGAATTGAAATTTTGTGACACCGCACCCGAACGTCCTTGAAAAATTCAAGTTAAAAATTCAAAGTTTACGTATTGAATTTCTGATTCCCAAACAATTGTAAATGATTGATGATTTTACGTAATTAATGATCGATTATTATACCGTCCGAACTCGCATATTAGTGTCGGGCTTGTGAATACTCATTTGGGCCTTATTAATAAATAAAAGAGCCTAACATTATCTAAGTAGCGATACATAACGTTTCAGGACAAGTTGAAGAAGGGCGGGCAGCCCAGATATTATTTTGGGCTCAACCCGCTAAAATAGCAAGTATTCGAGGACGGCGTCGTAGGCCCACTCGGGGGCGACCCACACGGCTAGTAGCCCGATAACATGGATAACAAATGTCAAAATAAGTGATAGGATGATTTGAGATGAATACAAATGCCTATGATCCCATCTTTGACATTATTGAGCTAAATAATGGGAATATGATTGTCCTTCTATAATGTCCATCATGTAAATAATTGGGATGAGCCTACACATATTGGAGATCAATAATGTGATTTAGGAAGTTGACTTGTTCTAAATAAATTAGGATGAGTACAAAAAGACATCTTTTGACAAAGATAAAACAATAGGACCCATTTTCCCCATTTTTGGAAGTATTGGTAGATAGTTTGGATCCCAAAATGATTGGGATCAATTGGGAACCACTCCACATGATATTAGTACCTGCAAGACAAATAAAAATGGGTTAGGAAACTTACCTTGGCCGACCACCATGGAGAGGAGCTGCACAAGACTTGATAGGAATCAAATGTTGGGCCACCATCCCTATTTTCGCACAAAATTGTGTGCTGGTTGTCTCCACTCATTATGGGAGTTGTACTCGACCAAATGAGGTGTATAAGGTGTCCTTGGATAGCCTTTGAAGTCTAGTATCTCAATTGAGTGGTCTTTGTTCGAGGAGAGAGAGCTTATCTTACCAGAATCGAGCTGAAGTGAGTGGTGGTCTGTAAACTCGAGCTGTGAGAGTGCTGAGACTGTTTGGTTGATATCTCGAGTTATACCAATCCAAATAAGGCGTGCGAGATACCCACAGAAAGCTCTCAAGACGAGGAATCCGTGAAGGTCTGGTTTGCATCAATCGGAGTAGTGGAAGGCTTTCAAATCGTCCGAGCAAAACACAACCTCGCGGAATACGTTTTTGTATTCAAAGTAAGTTTGAATCCAAAACCTTCCTCTCTATTGTCTAAACCATATAAATGATTGAAGAACTATTATACACTGATTGAAGTGTATAAAATGTTATTATAAAGTGACTTTAATTGTTGGAAAAGTTAGATACTAATCTAGACAAAACCTTGAAAGGTTAGGGAACGATTTCGTCGGGAAACACCCGTTCTAGGGACTGTTTTTGTGTCTTCGGTTAGGAGTTGAACTAGCACTTTGAAGAGGCTGTTTAACACTCAATTCCAAGCAAGGAATCAGTCCTCAATCTTTCTTGGCCGAGGCTTTGGTCATTGGATCGAGAAGGAAAGTTTTAAAGCTCATTTGAGGTGAGGATGGCTGACTATATTGCTTATAATCTTTGGGTTAATTTCATAAGATTACCTAAAGTAATTAAATGTGATTTTCATGGATTATTAATGATTAATAATGCCTAAATGAAAATATCATTGTTTGTGAATAGAAGATGCATAACATACAAATTTATGAGAAATTGTGTATGATGATGCATAATAAATGTGAAGGTATAATGATTGTATAAACCATGAATTTTTGTGATAAAATATACTTTTACTTCATGTATAGAAATCATGAATGGATAAAAGTGATATTTTTGATATTGAGATTAAATCGTATACGGATTAGAAAATCCATAGGAATGAGCCTTATAACTATGAGTTAAGGAGCTTGGGCTGTTTAAAGGTTTATGGATTAGTATTTAATTTACTAATCGGGAATGTTGTATAAAAAGTGATAGAACAATCCTAAGGACTTGGATTGTGAAGGATGCACCTTAAGTAGTCTTATGAGATGCCTTAAGGTAGGAAGGGGTAACCACTAAGTTACATTAGGAGTAGGCCTCATTGGCTACTCAAGATTGAGGAACTCTAGGCATAGAATTTGCTAGTGAGTTAGTATCGTGACTAGAGGAAGCCTCTAGCACGATGAAGAATGACTGGAGGAAGCCTCCAGCATTCGTGTAGGACGAACTAGTATCGTGACTAGAGGAAGCCTCTAGCACGATGAAGAATGACTGGAGGAAGCCTCCAGCATTCGTGTAGGATGACTAGAGGAAGCCTCTAGCATAATGTAATGTGACTGGAGGAAGCCTCCAGCACAAAGTATGTAAGGTGATTAGAGGAAGCCTCTAACACCGAATTTAGTGACTAGAGTAAGCCTCTAGCACGGCAAAACATGACTAGAGGAAGCCTCTAGCATGGTGAATTTAATATAGATGGGCGTGGCTTGAAGTCACGGGGAAAGGGTTGAACGTTTTCAAGGTAAAACATGGGTCTTCGGGCCAACTACTTGACTTTATATATAAAGTAAGTATATTTTCAAAGAGGGTAACCACGGGTTATGACCTATATTATATTATCACCCTATGTGAGGGTCTTGGAAATTGAAACTTTGATTATACTTAGTATAGTTGTCATTGTACTTGTCAAATGCTTCCAAGTACTGACCTCCCCTTCACGGGGGAGGCCACCTCACAGTTTCAGGTAGGACTTGAAGGTTGCTACCGCCGCCGTTGCTTTGGGGAGGTTCAAGGAAGGAGACGTGGTTCGTGCTTCTTCCGTTCCTGTTTTGAAAACATTTTTAAATAATGCTCATGGATACTATTTGAATATTTATTTGGGCTTGTATGCCCGTGTTTGCCACGTGTGGCTTGGATATTTGAATTAATGTTTCCGCTGCTTGATTAAATATTTTGCATTATGATTGTTTATGGATGTACTATTGTGAATGATATTCATGACGCCTAGTATAGTATGGATGAGTTGGACTGCGGTTGACTATTCGTACTGTACGGCGGGTTGTTGACGTGTCCGGTGGGTCCGGGGCGTGACAATTTAATTGGTATCAGAGCCTTAGTCCGTAAACTTCATAATGAAGCTTCAAAATCTCTTTTTGAAAAACGAATTTGAAAACCATGAGCATAAAAGTTTTGTACTTATAGAACTTTTGGTACTTGAGTTGCAAAGTCTCTAATTGTTAAGATGGTACCCTTAACAATTGGTATGGCGGTGATTTGAGCCAAAAGATATCTTTAAGTACCTATCCGTCACTTGACATTTGATACGAGCCTAATGGCTCATTCTAAACTTCTTTCAGAAATGGAACGCACCGGTAGAGTGACTCGACGGAACCCGACTGGCCAGGTGCTGGGAGGATCCCAACGTGGCAGTCAGGGGGGATCAAGAGAGTCTGGGGGACAGGGCCGAGCAGGCCACTCGCTGACCGTGAGTGACGGTCACGTGGAAACAATAGATGAGCACTATGAGTCCGAGGAGGATTCAACTTACCAACCGGGAACTGAGCCGGTTGACACCCCATATGATGGGGAACACGATGATGCTAGTGATGAGAGTGATGATAATGACGCTCTTGAACGGATTGAGGAATTGCTCCGGCAATACCAACAAGATCGCCAAAGGCGCCGGGCAAGGCGTGCTTTGGAAGGGGCTTCGAGGAGAGGAAGCCGCGCGACTCCTAGGGAGAGCATTGAACTCCGAGGAGGTCGAGGTGCCGAGGTTCCTATCATAAGGATCTCAAAGTACCTAAAGGAGGCAAGAGACTTGGGATGTAAACCGTTTGATGGAACGGGAGACATCTCCGTGGCGGCCGAGTGGATCAAGAGATTCAATGAAGCGGCCCTTGATATGCAGCTGCCACCCCATATGAAGATGAGAGTGGCAACAAGATTGCTAGAAGGAATGGCGTCCACGTGGTGGGACGGTGTCAAAGGGAAGTACGGTGAGGCGGTCACTTGGGAGAACTTCAGGCAAGAATTCTTTAGCCAATACTACTCCGACTTCGAGGTGAACTTGAAGAGGAGGGAGTACACGAATTTGACCCAAGGAGGGGAATGCACGGTGAAGGAACTTGAACACAAGTTCAGAAAGCTTGCTGAGTTCATACCGGAGTACATTTGTGATGAAAATCGGATGGTGAACCATTTCTGGGATGCCTTGGACCTTGACATACGTGAGAGGGCAACACAATTGCCTAATATGACATTTAGTCAAGTGGTGGAACAAGGTTTAAAGGGAGAGAAGGAGTGGGAAGAGAGGAAGCGAAGAAATGCCGAGGAGGCAAAGAAAAGAAAATGGGAGAACCATGGCCCCCAAGGTTCAAACAAGAAGATGAATCACGGGGGAGGAGGATCCTTCAGGGCACCCGCACCACCATCAAGGGGGAATCCCAACATGGGTGGGCAAAACTCGGGGTTACAAGCCTCGACGAAGCCTAAGTGCAGGAATTGCAAGAGAAATCACGAGGGCAAATGTCGTGATCCCCCACGGTGCTACCAATGCGGAGATACGGGGCACATAAGGCCTAATTGCCCTCAACTTGGTGGGAACCGGTCATCAGGACCAAACGTGACAACCACGGTGAGTAGAAACCGGGGTGGGGCACCCAATGCAAGCACGAACCACGGCGGGGCAAGTACAAGCAACGCACCCTCCGTGAACCAAGGAAGGACTCAAGCGAGAGTGTACGCAATGACCGAGGTCGATGCTCGGGCTAATCCCGACTCCGTCGCAGGTAATACACTTATTCTGGTCATTTCTAGGCTTACTTTGATCATATACGTCGTTGGGATTGAGTACGGGCCACCCCGGGGTCAAACCGGGTGAGTTAGGCCTAATCGGGCTGGAAACAGCCACTGCTGGCCAGGCACGCCCGCAGGCACGCCGTGCCTGGCATCGTGCCTGGAAGGCAGTGGCACCCGAAGAAAAGAAGAAAAAAAAAAAAATTTTGGGCCAGGCACGGCCGCAGGCACGCCGTGCCTGGCGTCGTGCCTGGAAGGCAGTATCGCCCGAAGAAAATTTGGCCAGGCACGGCCGCAGGCACGCCGTGCCTGGCACCGTGCCTGGGAGGCAGTGGTGAGCAGGAAGAATCCGAGGCACGCACGGCCGTGCGTGCCACCCAGGCACGCCGTGCGTAGGCCCCAGAACCCGAAAATCGAATTTTTTCCGCTCCGTTCTTCTACGTTTGGACCCCCGATTGATTCCAAACATTAGTATGAACCTAATAACCTCCTAATGATGTGTAAAAACATTAGAAAAGGTATCCCACATGGTGTATAAATGTAGGAACATTAAAGATCAATGGTAGGTATGCGAGGATCCTCATCGATACCGGGGCACAACGCTCATTTATGAGTGAGGCGTTCGCCGAGGGCCTTGACGTGCCATTGACACCTGTGATGCAAACGTTGCTAGTCTCCACACCGTTAGGAGACGATGTGGAGAGAAATCATTACTATCCATCATGTGAGGTGGAAGTGACGGGTCAACCCTTGACGTGTGATTTCGTACCGCTGAGTATGATGGAGTTCGATGCAATCCTAGGGATGGATTGGCTAGAAAAGCATCATGCTAGGGTAGATTGCTACACAAAGGTCTTGGGACTCGAAGGCAATGATGGGGATACCCTACGCTTCGAGGAGGACCGAGGCAAATCAAACAGCTGTATCATATCCGCTGTGAGAGCGAGAAATATGATGAGAAAGGAATGCCACGCTTATCTAGCATACGTGGTTGACAAGACCAAGGAGGAAACGAACATCGACGACGTGAGGGTGGTTTGTAAGTACCCGAATGTCTTCCCAAAGGACCTGTCGGGGCTTTCACCTGATAGGGAGATTGAATTTGTGATCGAGGTCGAGCCCGGCACCAAACCAATCTCCATACCGCCATACCGTATGGCGCCCGCTGAACTTAATGAGTTGAAAACCCAAATTGCAAGAGCTTTTGGATAATGGCTTCATTAGACCAAGCCACTCCCCGTGGGGCGCACCGATTCTTTTTGTGAAAAAGAAAGATGGGACACTTCGAATGTGCATTGACTATCGTTAACTGAACAAGGTCACAATCAAGAATAGGTATCCTTTGCCTAGGATTGATGACTTGTTTGATCAACTACGAGGAGCAACTGTGTTTTCAAAGATTGACTTGAGGTCAGGGTACCATCAATCGAAGGTTAAGGAAGATGACTTACCAAAGAGTGCTTTCCGCACAAGGTATGGGCATTTTGAGTTCCTTGTTATGTCGTTTGGGTTAACAAACGCCCCAGCAGCATTCATGGACTTGATGAACCGAGTATTCCATAAATACTTGGATCGATTCGTGATTGTGTTCATAGATGACATTTTGATTTACCCAAAGAGTAAGGAAGAGCATGAAGAGCACTTGATACTCGTTCTTGAGACACTACGGGAGAAGCAACTTTATGCTAAATTTTCTAAATGTGAATTTTGGCTAAAGGAAATTGGCTTTCTCGGGCATGTGGTTTCGGGATCGGGAATTGCTGTTGATAATAAGAAGATAGGGGCCATTACCGAATGGGAGAGACCAAAGAACGTCAAGGAAATTCGTGGTTTCCTTGGGTTAGCAGGCTACTACAGGAAGTTCGTGTAGAAATTCTCCGTTTTGGCATCACCATTGACAAAGCTCACTCGTAAAGGAGCTAAGTTTGTATGGGATGACAAATGTGAGAAAGGGTTCATTGAACTAAAGAAGAGATTGATCGAGGCACCGGTACTTGCATTACCCAAACAGGGTGTGGGGTACGATGTCTATAGCGATGCGAGCATCCAAGGGTTTGGGTGTGTGTTGATGCAGGAGGGGAGAGTAATTGCCTATGCTTCACGACAGTTGAAGAAGCATGAGGTAAATTACCCTACCCATGACCTGGAGCTGGGAGCAGTAGTGTTTGCACTAAAAATTTGGAGACATTATCTCTACGGAGAGACATGTCACATATATAATGATCATAAGAGCTTGCTTAGTGAATTAGCATCGTGACTAGAGGAAGCCTCGAGCACGATGAAGAATGACTGGAGGAAGCCTCCAGCATTCGTGTAGGACGACTAGAGGAAGCCTCTAGCGTAACGTAATGTGACTGGAGGAAGCCTCCAGCACAACGTATGTAAGGTGATTAGAGGAAGCCTCTAACACCAATAGAAAAGTGAAGAAACTGAGGAGCAAAGAGGTCCCAATGGTTAAAGTACTTTGGAAGAGCGATCAGGTCGAAGGGAAGACATGGGGAAGCAGAGGCTTTGATGAGGAAGCAGTATGCTTTCCTATTCAAGTAGAGCTGTGAATTTCGGGGACGAAATTCCTGTTAAGGGGGGGTGAACTTGTGACACCGCACCCGAACGTCCTTGAAAAATTCAAGTTAAAAATTCAAAGTTTACGTATTGAATTTCTGATTCCCAAACAATTGTAAATGATTGATGATTTTACGTAATTAATGATCGATTATTATACCGTCCGAACTCGCATATTAGTGTCGGGCTTGTGAATACTCATTTGGGCCTTATTAATAAATAAAAGAGCCTAACATTATCTAAGTAGCGATACATAACGTTTCAGGACAAGTTGAAGAAGGGCGGGCAGCCCAGATATTATTTTGGGCTCAACCCGCTAAAATAGCAAGTATTCGAGGACGGCGTCGTAGGCCCACTCGGGGGCGACCCACACGGCTAGTAGCCCGATAACATGGATAACAAATGTCAAAATAAGTGATAGGATGATTTGAGATGAATACAAATGCCTATGATCCCATCTTTGACATTATTGAGCTAAATAATGGGAATATGATTGTCCTTCTATAATGTCCATCATGTAAATAATTGGGATGAGCCTACACATATTGGAGATCAATAATGTGATTTAGGAAGTTGACTTGTTCTAAATAAATTAGGATGAGTACAAAAAGACATCTTTTGACAAAGATAAAACAATAGGACCCATTTTCCCCATTTTTGGAAGTATTGGTAGATAGTTTGGATCCCAAAATGATTGGGATCAATTGGGAACCACTCCACATGATATTAGTACCTGCAAGACAAATAAAAATGGGTTAGGAAACTTACCTTGGCCGACCACCATGGAGAGGAGCTGCACAAGACTTGATAGGAATCAAATGTTGGGCCACCATCCCTATTTTCGCACAAAATTGTGTGCTGGTTGTCTCCACTCATTATGGGAGTTGTACTCGACCAAATGAGGTGTATAAGGTGTCCTTGGATAGCCTTTGAAGTCTAGTATCTCAATTGAGTGGTCTTTGTTCGAGGAGAGAGAGCTTATCTTACCAGAATCGAGCTGAAGTGAGTGGTGGTCTGTAAACTCGAGCTGTGAGAGTGCTGAGACTGTTTGGTTGATATCTCGAGTTATACCAATCCAAATAAGGCGTGCGAGATACCCACAGAAAGCTCTCAAGACGAGGAATCCGTGAAGGTCTGGTTTGCATCAATCGGAGTAGTGGAAGGCTTTCAAATCGTCCGAGCAAAACACAACCTCGCGGAATACGTTTTTGTATTCAAAGTAAGTTTGAATCCAAAACCTTCCTCTCTATTGTCTAAACCATATAAATGATTGAAGAACTATTATACACTGATTGAAGTGTATAAAATGTTATTATAAAGTGACTTTAATTGTTGGAAAAGTTAGATACTAATCTAGACAAAACCTTGAAAGGTTAGGGAACGATTTCGTCGGGAAACACCCGTTCTAGGGACTGTTTTTGTGTCTTCGGTTAGGAGTTGAACTAGCACTTTGAAGAGGCTGTTTAACACTCAATTCCAAGCAAGGAATCAGTCCTCAATCTTTCTTGGCCGAGGCTTTGGTCATTGGATCGAGAAGGAAAGTTTTAAAGCTCATTTGAGGTGAGGATGGCTGACTATATTGCTTATAATCTTTGGGTTAATTTCATAAGATTACCTAAAGTAATTAAATGTGATTTTCATGGATTATTAATGATTAATAATGCCTAAATGAAAATATCATTGTTTGTGAATAGAAGATGCATAACATACAAATTTATGAGAAATTGTGTATGATGATGCATAATAAATGTGAAGGTATAATGATTGTATAAACCATGAATTTTTGTGATAAAATATACTTTTACTTCATGTATAGAAATCATGAATGGATAAAAGTGATATTTTTGATATTGAGATTAAATCGTATACGGATTAGAAAATCCATAGGAATGAGCCTTATAACTATGAGTTAAGGAGCTTGGGCTGTTTAAAGGTTTATGGATTAGTATTTAATTTACTAATCGGGAATGTTGTATAAAAAGTGATAGAACAATCCTAAGGACTTGGATTGTGAAGGATGCACCTTAAGTAGTCTTATGAGATGCCTTAAGGTAGGAAGGGGTAACCACTAAGTTACATTAGGAGTAGGCCTCATTGGCTACTCAAGATTGAGGAACTCTAGGCATAGAATTTGCTAGTGAGTTAGTATCGTGACTAGAGGAAGCCTCTAGCACGATGAAGAATGACTGGAGGAAGCCTCCAGCATTCGTGTAGGACGAACTAGTATCGTGACTAGAGGAAGCCTCTAGCACGATGAAGAATGACTGGAGGAAGCCTCCAGCATTCGTGTAGGATGACTAGAGGAAGCCTCTAGCATAATGTAATGTGACTGGAGGAAGCCTCCAGCACAAAGTATGTAAGGTGATTAGAGGAAGCCTCTAACACCGAATTTAGTGACTAGAGTAAGCCTCTAGCACGGCAAAACATGACTAGAGGAAGCCTCTAGCATGGTGAATTTAATATAGATGGGCGTGGCTTGAAGTCACGGGGAAAGGGTTGAACGTTTTCAAGGTAAAACATGGGTCTTCGGGCCAACTACTTGACTTTATATATAAAGTAAGTATATTTTCAAAGAGGGTAACCACGGGTTATGACCTATATTATATTATCACCCTATGTGAGGGTCTTGGAAATTGAAACTTTGATTATACTTAGTATAGTTGTCATTGTACTTGTCAAATGCTTCCAAGTACTGACCTCCCCTTCACGGGGGAGGCCACCTCACAGTTTCAGGTAGGACTTGAAGGTTGCTACCGCCGCCGTTGCTTTGGGGAGGTTCAAGGAAGGAGACGTGGTTCGTGCTTCTTCCGTTCCTGTTTTGAAAACATTTTTAAATAATGCTCATGGATACTATTTGAATATTTATTTGGGCTTGTATGCCCGTGTTTGCCACGTGTGGCTTGGATATTTGAATTAATGTTTCCGCTGCTTGATTAAATATTTTGCATTATGATTGTTTATGGATGTACTATTGTGAATGATATTCATGACGCCTAGTATAGTATGGATGAGTTGGACTGCGGTTGACTATTCGTACTGTACGGCGGGTTGTTGACGTGTCCGGTGGGTCCGGGGCGTGACAAATTTGAATATCAGATTGTTAAGGACAGAGATTGATCAAGGTGTTGGTCGGTGATCATGTTTACTTCTTGTTTTAGTTCATATAGTTGTGTTTTTGTGCTCATTTAATTCAACCACAACTTGTTCTATATTGAATAAATTTTTATTCTTCTTCAAATTTGTAGGAACTTTTATTACTCCGTAAGTTTTAAGGAAAGTATTCATTTGAGTTCTAAACATTAGTCATTCAAGCAGAAGAAAGCTTCTTCCGATATAAGCATTCATTCTTATCTTATATTTCTATTTCATGCTCTAGACAACCTTTCTTTTTACATAAATAAGATAATTATTCATATTCTTATGTACTCAATACATAGTTACTCCAACTTAAGCATTTAGTTCAAAATTTAAATATAACACTTCTAAAGGTAGTTCTACTCATTGTCCACACTTGTATCGACAATGCATGAAGTAATTCCAAACAACCAAGGCAGCAGGGGAATACATTCAATGAGAAGTTAGTACCAGTGACCAAATCAATAAATAAAACATGACATTGAGAACATACTATTCATGACCACTTGTTTCTTATCATTGGTAAAGCTATTAAGATAGTCATGGTGTTGGATAATTGATACCCATATCGTATAAACAGGAGAAATTGAACACGAATCAAAAGAAGTAATGGAAGTGTATAGAAAGAGTGAATATTTGTTATATGAGTTACAAGCCTCCTATAAGGAGTATATATAGGGAAAATCCGGATCTGGGCCTCTAATATGGGTCAGACAGACCCGGTTACATAAATGGACTGATAGTAGAAAAAGCTAATCTAGAACATCTGAATAATAATAATAATGTACAATAATATTAATGATATCCGCTAAACGTGTGTGGGCCGCTGTCCAGGCCTAGTAGTCGGCATACCGGGGGGTCGGAGTCCATATAATCCATCAGGAGTCCCCCACTCCCTGAGTCGAGAGTACTCGAGGCGAAAGGGAGTAGTCCAAACTGTATCTGCAACGCTCTTCCTCTTCGGTCGGGGGACCACCACCCTTGTCCATTATGGGGAGGTGCCTCGTTAAAAACCTTTACTAGGAAAAACCCAGTGGGAAAAAATCCTTGATAGAGTATATGGGCCTGGACCCCATGGCCCACATACTCAACGGCCCAAAAAACACCAGCAGGACACCCGCATCGGCCACAAGCGTGCGACGTCCAAGAGAGAAGACATCACCCGGGTTCTTTGGGGTGAAGCCCAGGATCCGCGTCATCCGAGAACGGCATCGTCCATGGACCGCGTCGTCCATGGACCGCGTCGTCCATGGACCGCATCGTCTATGGACCGCATCGTCTATGGACCGCATCGTCCATGGACCGCATCGTCCATGGACCGCATCGTCCGGACTTCGTCCGGACAGAATGTATTTTCCTATTTTTTGTACTAAGTGTTGTACTCAGCCCATTAGTGGCCTTATTTGCCCAAAGAAGGCATAATTATTGTAATGGGCCTCCTAAGCCCAAGGCTAGGGGCCCAAATCCACATTTTTACCTATAAATAGACCCCAAAGGGCTAATTATAGGGGGTTCCAAGTTGAGAAAGATAATTATTCACTTTCTCTCTCTAGCTCTCACTTCTCTCTAGAATTAATACTCTATCATTTGGTGCTTTCATTGAGAGCTTAGAACAGATCAAGTGAGTACCCCTCGTCGCTACTAGACGCAACAGAATGACAAGAACTAGGTCAAAGAACACCGGAAGGAATGCCCCTCTGAACCAGGAAGGGCAGGGAAACGTTGCTGACAACGTCCCCAATGATCTCATCATTCAGGATGAGAACGCTCAGGAGGTCGAGCTCGCAGCGGCCGACCTTCGCACCCAGCTCAACAAGAATGCCCCAGACGCCCGCATCGGGCTCGAGGACAAGCGCAATGCTGATCGCACTTCGGGCCAGCATGCCTCTCACCCTGCTGCTCCCCAGATCAACCCGGCCGCATTATCGGCCATTGTTGCGAGCATCCTCCAGGACCCCAACGTCGTCAGCGCTCTTGTCGCAAAGACCGGGGAAAACAACACTCCCGTGACTGGAGAAGTCGCGACGGTGCCACCACCGCCGCCTCGGCCACAAGGCGTCACCTTCTTCGGCAACGACGAAGGCATCCTCGCCGCGGACACCCATTCCCATACTGCCTCTCCTACCCGGGATACACCGGCCCAACCTCGCGGTAAAATCTCGGCCTTCAATAGGTTGGGTGACATCGCGAGCCGTCGGGTACCTACGGGAAGGGTTGCGGATCGGTTGGGTGGTCGCGAGCCGGGATCACCAAAGGAAAGCTTCGGGTCCGTTTCCCGGACAACGGATCGGCCCCGACCAGACAAAGGCAAAGGAAAGCTGAATGATGATGACGCGCGTCACCAGATCAACCTGGCCCACGCGGCCCGGATCCAGACCCCTCTGGGTGGCGCTGCGGCCAACACGGACCCAAGGGACGAGATCATCGCCCGCCTGGAGAAGCGCCTCGCTGATATGGAGGCCCGAGAGGCTGCAGGGCGCGCAGCGGCTCACACATCCCAGCATCCCAACTACGATGCACTCCTACACAAGGTCAGTGCCTTGGAGAGGGAGTTGGCCGACCGACGCGACGAGCCCGTCATCCAAATACGGACCCGGACCCCCTTCTCTGCGAGGGTGCTCTCCGCTCCCATCCCAGAGAAGTACAAAGGGAATCCAATCAAGCCATATGACGGCCGCACTGATCCTCAGGAGCATTTCACCCGCTATCAGAACAACATGATGATGACCAACGCTTCGGAGGAATACATGTGCCGCTGGTTCCTATCCACCTTGGAAGGGCCAGCGTATGATTGGTTCAATAACCTTCCAGAAGGGAGCATCGACTCATGGCAGGACCTTGCTCAGCGCTTCCTCACCCACTTTGCCGGGAGGAAGCGTGCGAAGAAGCATTTCGCCCACCTCCTGACCATCAAACAACAATCGGAGGAGACACTCCGAGCCTTCCTCGATCGCTGGACAAGGGAGGCGGACGAATGTGAAGGGGCCGACGAGCGCACTCTCTTGGCTTTCCTCCGCGGGGCACTCCGGCCTAGCCACTTCGCCCGGAGCCTGTTCACGGAGCCGCCACGGTCATACCTCGCAGCGCTCCGACGCGGAGATAGGCACGCTGATGCCGACGAGCTCCTGAACCAGAAGAAGGGTGGGGAGAAGCAACAAAAGAAGGACTCCTCGTCCAACCCCCACCACCCGCCGGCCAACAAGGGACAGCACCAGCCAAAGAAGGCACACCAGGAGCAAGGTGGACAGCGGAGAGAGGACCGCTCATGGCGCCCAAAGTTGGAGGCACAGCGCATCCCCCTCACCCACCCGGTGAGCGTCGTCCTTGACCATGCCGAGGCGCAAGGCCTCATTGTGAAGGACCCCAGGTCAGAGGAGGAGATATTTGCGGTCCACAAAGGAGGGACATACTGCAAGTACCACCGCCAGACATCCCACAAGACCGAGGATTGCACCACCTTGAAGAGGCACATCGACGGCCTCATCCGACAGGGGGAACTTTCCCAATTTGTCAAGGGTGCCCCCAAGAGTAACACTTGGGTTAACCCTGGCAAAAGGGGGGAAGGATCCTCCGGGAAAAAGAGGGAGATCGGTGCCCTCAGTGAAGATGAGGACGAAGAGGAGCCCCGCCAAAAGAAGCATCACATTCACATCATCGTCGGCGGGAACACAGGGGGGGACTCGGCTACCCAACGGAAAAAATGGGCTCAGTCCCTATACGTTGGTGAGGTGTCCCACGCCCCCCCTCAGCCGAAGCGACGGCACATGGAGGCCATCACCTTCACCGATAAAGACCTACCCTGCGGCCCCTTGCCCCACAGGGACGCCCTCGTCATCAAATGCGAGATTGGCAACAACATCATTCACCGCAACTACATCGACACTGGCAGCTCCGTCAATGTGATGTACGTTGATACGTTCAGACAGCTGAAGCTGAAGAAAACCGAGCTCCGGCCGATACGGACTCCGTTATCCGGCTTCACCGGGGACTCTATCGACGCCGAGGGCACGATAGTGCTTCCCGTTGTGGTCGGTGACGGTACCTGTCAGGCGAAGATTGACATGGAGTTCGTGGTTGTCAACCTGGACAGCGCCCACAACATGATTTGGGGACGACCGGCCTTGGAGGACCTTGAGGCCATCATCTCCATGAGACATCTATGCCTCAAGTTCCCCACCAAGGACGGCGTCGGCTACGCCAGAGGAAATCAGAAGATAGCCAGGGCTTGCTACCTGAAGCTCACAAGGAAGATCAATGAGGCCGAGGAGCGGATAGACACCATCACCACCGCCTCGGCCGAAGAAGACACACCAAAGGCCGAACCGGTCGGAGACGTGGAAGATGTTCCGTTGGACGTCTCCCGGCCGGAACGCACACTGAAGATTGGGACACAGCTCCCCCAACAGATTCGAAGGGACATCCTCTCTGTCCTGAGAGCGTACGCCGTCGTCTTCGCATGGGGACCAGAGGACATGCCGGGCATCAGCCCAAAGGTGATCACACATCGGCTATCGGTGAACCCGGCCTCCTCCCCCATCAAACAGAAAAAACGCTACCTCTCAGCTGACAGGAGGGAATTCGTCAAAGCCGAAGTGGCCATGCTGCTCTCCATCAAACACATAAAAGAGGTGAAGTACCCCACGTGGTTGGCGAACGTCGTCCTCGCCCCAAAGCCGCCCACGTTCAGAATGTGTGTTGATTACACTGACCTGAACAAGGCGTGCCCGATGGACCCATTCCCTCTCCCCAACATTGATCAGTTGGTGGATGAGACGGCGGGGTGCGAGTTGATGTCGTTCCTCGACGCGTTTAGAGGGTACCACCAGATATCCATGCACGAAGATGACGCGGAGAAGACTGCTTTTATGACCCCGGAGGGAATTTTTTGCTACCTCGTCATGGCCTTTGGGCTCAAGAACTCCGGCGCCACCTACACAAGGATGGTAGCCCGGATTTTTAGAGCAGTCTTAGGTCGGACGATGGAAGCATACGTCGACGATATGATCGTCAAGAGCAAACAATCCACAACCCATGCCGACGACCTCCGGGGCATCTTTGAA